GGACCACACACTAGCGGCTGTCTCTTATACACATCTGAGGAGTAGTGCTATAAAAAAAATTGCCCAAGCTCTAAGAATGGGGATTTTTTTTCTGAGACACTATATGATATACTGATTCAGAAAAACCAAAAATAAATTTTCCTTTACTTTTTTCCCGCTAATTTCCTACTGCACCCAGGCTATATATGATATTCATGATTGCATTATAATTAATTTAAAAAAAAAAATTAATATTGCATGTTCTTTTGAATCAACATTTTTATGCATATGTACAAATGTGTCTACCCACTTCTCCCCAGCGTCCTATTTGTACACTTGTAAAATGTTAATAATTGTGAATGACCCCTTTAAAGCCAACCCAGACAGCGTCGTACGATTTATCGTAGGGGGACAGTCTTAAGCCATCGTGAGAAATATTAAACATGTTTAATATTATACGACGCGACTTCCCCTACGCAAACCATCGCGTCTGCGTTTAACTCAAACAGACCCGACGCGACTGTGACAACAAATCCCGTCGGGCTGCGTCGCACGACGCTGTCCGAGTTGGCCTTTATAGATTGCAGAACTGTTCCATCGATATACAACAGATCATCTGGCTCACACAGCCTGACGAAGTCATGTTGATAACATCAAAACATCGACGAAAGCTCGCAGTTAGTTTACATGAAATTGTGCTTGGTTTTATATTGATTGAATAGTTCTATATCTTATTATTTCGAATTATTTAAGAGACCCCTTGAATGTCAGATAAGATGAAGGTCACCTTCTATAAGTAAATAATGTAAAAAAAATAGTCCTTGTGGCAATATGGAACCAATGGCTGGTGAACTGCTCTTCCAAAATGTTAGTTTATTTATATTATTTTATTATCATTGTGATTTTTTTAGCTAATAATATACAAACTTACTTACTTCAATTAAGAAAAATAAATTGCCTAATATATTTTAATCACTTATTGACTGCTGTACATTTATTCTGTAGGCCTACATTATACTTCAATTGTTTACCGCTTATAATAAGAATTAGTTTCAATTATCTGTTACTTTATTGTTGAATTACATATATATTGTATAAATTAAACTAAGATTATTTCTATCTTAATTATATTCTAATTTTGTTATATTAGGCCTATGTTCCTTTTATTGTTTGCTTTGTAAATTGTTTTATAAATATATAATGGGTATAATTTATATATTTTTGTCTACTTTTATTGTAATGTGTATGATATTATGTGCTGTTTTTATGTTCAGGTGGTTGAACTAGTAGTATAGGTGTACGTTTACCTGATTTACTCCACCTTGCTTCCTATTAAGTTGTGACCTGAATTTGAATAAAATAAAACTAAAATAAATAAAAATCACTAGATACTAGATCATAAAATATTTGTCAAGTAACAGTACATTAATAAATTCATGATTAAAACAATTCACATCAATAATTATTCATTATTACATTTTTTTTATCAACTAGGTCTGTAATACACCATGGGCTTCAATTCTAAATAGTAAATATGCACATTATTCTTATACACTGAAATAAACTTATGAGGTTTACTCTATCATCCCATCGTTCGCTACTTTAAAAAAAATAATCCTTTCTTACAAACACATGGTAACCTAATTAAATTTAAAAGGTAACTGACGACGACTCAGTAAAAACATGCTAAAAGAAAGAAGACTCAAGGGTACCCATGGTATTTATAGAACGGAAAGTGTATCATCACACAGCTACAATATAGCTCCATTGGTAATATTAACTAACTCCCAAACGATTAATAATATAATTAGTGAAGAACCACAAGTGTTCTACCAGATGAAATTGTAAACAAAAATTTGCTAACATCAACAATGATATGGGAGTATTATGCCATATTGATTACACAAACTTGATTATAACTGTTTACACTGGAGACCCGATATCTGTTACACTGAGTCCATGATAAAAGCCACAAATACATTGTCTCATCATTACATTATTTAATATGTGAGGATAGAACGAATTATGGAGTATCCATTCACGCACCATACTCTGTTTATATTAAAAGCGGATTCGAGGACACTAAGAGTGGTCAGAAATATATATTTCAAGAAACCTATAAAGCCAGGTTATTATCATGTTTAATAATGTTACTAATATTACTAACACTAATAATGATGATGATAATAATAATAATAATAATAATCTAATAATACTAAAACTAATAATAATAATAATAATGATAATAATAATAATAATAATAATAATAATAATAATAATAATAATAACTAGACTTACTATGTCTGTAAAACAGAACATAGAGCTTTTCCTCATTACCATAATGAGAAGTGATGTTGAAATTTAAAAAAAAAACTAATTTAAAAAGTGTAACGTAAAATAACACACGAAAAACAATGACATCATATAACGAATTATAGAGCTATCCATTTACCCACCATACTCAATAGCGGATTAGAGGAAACTAAGAGTTGTCAGAAATATATATTCGAGAAACATATAAAGCCAGGTTATATGTTTAATAATACTACTAATCGGCCTACTATTATTATGATAATAATAAAATTAATAATGATAATAATAATAATAATAATAATAATGATAATAATACAGTAATAATAATAATAATTATTATTATTATTTTAGTAATAGTAACAGTAATTTTAGTAATAGTAACAGTAATAATAATAATAATAATAGCAACAATAATAATAATTTTAATAATTTTAATAACAATAATAATAATAATAAATATATAATAATAATAACAATAATAATAATAATAAATATGGTAAAGACCAACAAGTTGCTCTGGTGTTCAGGAAAATACATCTGACGGATTAACTGTGATTTGATTGATTGAGGATGGAGGTGGTGGTATGTGAACTACGGTCAGAGCTCCAAATTGGAAGGTGTTGCAAGCTTGAGAACCAACACCTACCGGTACCTCAACTTACCATGGTTGGGGCTGAGATGCTAATTTACCGTTTTAACACTCCCTCTAATTGGCACTCTTAAATTGAAGCCCTGTTGAAACAATTAAGTTGTATTTGACAAAACATGTGACATACGCCTATGTTCATGATGACAACACATCATGACCATATATAGGCACATCATGACTATATATGGGCATACAACATTGTTTTGTCAAAGAAAATTTGATAGTGTAGACTGAGCTTTAGAAAAAAAAATGCCTTAGTTTCAACATCGCAAGTTCAAGTTTGAACACAAAAAACACTCGAAATTGAGCCAGTACCAGAAGACTGTGTGTATCAAGTGAGCTTCAATTATGAAATAATAGCACTAACCCATTGTAGTACGTGCATCAACTTAAGTAATTTTAGAGGACACACTAAATAATTCAAGCAGTTTTTTACACATAAATGTGAATTATTGGAAAGAGTATGAAATTTCACAAAAAAGATCGAGTTTGTGGGTTGGGGGGGAGGGGGAGCTGGCGTGAGAGCTTAGAGTCAGCCTGAAAGCGTCTCACGCAATGCGTGAGACTTGGTAGCTATCCAAGGGACTGGGATTGTTTTAGAAAAAAGGACTGTACAGAATGAACCTACGATTGGAAGGCATGCGCCTAACCACAACAAAGCTGAAAAACTTATACACGCATCATTGTACGCAGTGAATTTTTATTTTCTCATTGCCTACCATCATTTTTTCATAGGCCTATTGTTGTAAATATAATGTGCTGGTATGTCGTCATTACACTAGTACAGAAAGCCGTCACAATCAGTTTTCTAGGCCTAAAATCGTAGAAGCTTTCACCGATTATCACCTCTTTACTTTGCTACAATAATTATGAATTTCTTATTTGAAAAAGTGGCAATTATTACAGGTAAGCGTAAATGTAATTAGAATTAACTCTGGCAACACAATGTATCCGTTACGTGTCAATTAGTACGTCCGTAGTTTGAATCAAATCATGAGGCTAGATCTAAATGTATAAAATAACATACTAAAGGCGTAAGCTATGCACCATGCCACATTTTAATGAAGCTGAATATAGTATCGAGTGACTATTTGTTTCTATCTCAAGGTGTACAGCATAAAAACATAGTCTACTTTGCTTAATATTTTTGCATGATGATTTTTTTTTTGAAAGTGTTATCATACATACTAATTCAAAGATGTAACCAGGTAGCAGGTAACAATACAAATAGCACAATGTAATGTAACTGCTCCTTGATGAAACTATATTGATTACATACTACTAGGTGCCAGCTCTGGTATAGGTGCCGGGACAGCCGTTCACTTTGCGACTTTAGGTTGTAGCTTGGCGCTGGTGGGAAGAAATATGGAAGGTCTTAAAAAGGTGGCGGCAGAATGCGAAGAAAGAGGCTTGGAAGCAGATCAGGTTTGATATTAAATTCACAAATTAGTTTAGTCAATTTAAATATTACGCCCAATAAAAGTGTATTAGTTTATCATCCTATCTAGGCTGGAAGAGTAATGAGGGGTGGGGGGAGGCTTTTTATTTATTTATTTATTTTTTTTTTATTTTTGTTTGCTGATACATTGATATTCACAGTAAAATACATGATTGAGATAATACAAATAATACGCCTATCATTTAACTATTTATTTAAAACATTAAAAAAAATTTTTTTTTTTTAAATATTACTACCATAGAAGACATGCGGGCGACGGTGATATACTAACATTTTTATTGGGTTTTAATATCATCGTCATCAATTAATTAGTCAAATATCCATTTCAGGTCTATATCATGAATTCTTAAGATTTAAAATGTGAAACATTGGGATACTGATTTAAATAAACACAATGAATTATTAAACATATGACCGTTTAATATGCTGAGTAATAGTTCAACCAATTACTAAATTGTTACCATAATTCAGATTTTACTGGTTAATACTGACGTCACAAGAGAACACCAAGTAGAGAGCGCTGTTGCTGAAGTTATCAACAAATTCCACAAAATTGACATTGTGGTAAGTAATACAACTTTCTACCAGCAATGGAAGTACATAATATTAGGCTAAGTATTAAAGATAACGTTAATCTACCTATTTATCGACATTGCATCGAAACTAATCATAGGCCAAGAACAATAGACGTAACATAGAACGTTGTTCTAATTTTGGACGTTAGGAGTTAGTTAGAAGAGGAATCTGCAAGTGTGAAAAAAAAATTCATTGGGAATATAAATCCGATTAAAACTAACTAATTTTTCACACACAATTTCTCATGCATAGTTTCGACAGCACTATTGTCATAGTTAAACAAGCCGTGTTGTTTGGTTACTAGGTTAACTCTGCTGGCTGCTTGACATACGGCGGGCTTGAAAGTACATCTGAGGTGTTCGATGATGTTTTCCAAATTAATGTAAAATCAATATTTACAGTGTGCAAAGCCGTGGAACCACATGTATCCAAATCAAAAGGTAATAATATTTCAATGTTCATTATATTTATAGGCTATACGAATATAACATAACAGTAGTAGGTCTAATAGCATTCGAATTCAGTGCGATTTTATCTAGAACAGTAATATAACAGATTGTTGATATTATTATTATTATTATTATTATTATTATTATTAATAATATTATCATCATTATTAAGCCTATTGTTATTATTATTTTATTATTATTATTATTATTATTATTATTATTATTATTATTATTATTATTATTACTGTCAAAGTCTGAGCGATACACTGCAGAAATGATTAAAAAAATATTTTTGAGCATGCAATAGGCCTTGAACTGAGTAATATTGTAGTCCAAAAGCTATTTTGAAGTAAACTACATATCATTTGTAATACGTGTCACCATTCAAATAAAGACCGATTGTTTAGGACCGGTTTATTTATATATTTATTTATTCATTCATTCATTCATACATTCATTCGTTCGTTCGTTCCTTCATTCATTCATTCATTCATTCATTTATTTATTCATTTATCCATTCATTTATTCATTCATTCATTCATTTATTAATTCATTTATTCATTCATTCATTCATTCATTCATTCATTCATTTATTTAGTTATTTACTTTTTTGGCCTTTAGCAGCTTTTTGGTCTCTTATTAGAATAAAAAAAAATAAAGACATTTTTAACACGAGACCAAAGAAATTGGTTTTGAATTGGAGGTGGTCTTTAATTGGAGGTGGTCTTTAATTGGATGTGGTCTTTAATTGGAGGGGCTTTCATTACAGGGAGACCTGTAGTACATCACTAGGCCAACTCGTTTGATCATTTTTATTCAACTCTTTGCATTTCAGGCGTGATAATCAACGTTTCAAGCGCATGCAGTTTACGAGCAGTAAGCCAACATTTTATTAGGCCTATTAGATCTAATTTTGTTAGGCCTCTAATTAGTTAACAATACACATACCTCAGATACGTACTAATGGACCTTACCGCAAAGCCCTGCTTCCTTGAATATTGTTGCTAAGGTCCCATAAAAATGACATAAAGCCTGTTTTCCATTATTATAACACGAATTTATTCGTGCGAATCAAAAGCGTTGGTTTATGCGCATGTGCATTCACATTTCTATCGGAGTTTTTGCGAAGCGAAAAAGTGCACAACCAATCAGAGCTCAGGGAGCAAACCGACACTTTGATTCGCTTTGATTTTAAAGCCGGTTTTCTACTAGGCGAATTTATTCGTGCGAATGGAAAGCGTCGGTTTGCGTCCTGAGCTCTGATTGATTGCGCATTTTTTTTTTCGCTTCGCAAAAACAGGGAACAGTTTCCTGGCAAAAAGTATGCGAATTTATTCGCGTGAATCGAAAGCGTCGTTCTTGCGCATGGGCATTCATATTTTTATAGTCCGAACTGTTTCTACTTTTTGCGAAGCGAAAATGTGCGCAACCAATCAGAGCTCAGGAACAGAACCGACGCCTTCGATTCGCGCGAATAAATTCGCCTAATGGAAACAGACTTTGTAAACGACGCACGTAAAAACACACGCCTGTGTGTGAAAACACACGGTATTTGTGGGATATTCCCGTATTTCTGGTGCTATTCTGATTGGTTAGTTAAGTTTAATTGGCTGTACGGAAAAGTCCATTGGATCACTCACTAATTAGAATTGAAAAAAATTAAATTAATAAAAAAAAATTATTTTCATCCTGTATTGGACAGTTAATGTTGGAAAAGAGCGATATCAATATTTTGCAATAGTTAATCAATCATTTTCTTCTTCTAAAGTCACCTGGTTTAATGATTTACGGAATGTCCAAGGCCGCCGTTGACCACATGACTAAAACGCTTGCTCTTGGTAAGTTAATTGAATAGGCCTACGCCATAAATAATTATAGTCAATAGCTATGTAAGTTTTCAGGAAGTAATTGCTAGTGAAATGGCAAACGATAACATTTATTTTATTTCTGAATAAAACAAGACTAATAACATAGGCTTAACAAAATAATAAGTGTTTGAAAGTATGGTTTAATAATATATTCACAAAATTGAGTTCAGCTTCAATTTTCTTTCTGCATATTTGGAGAAGTTTTGAGTTAAAACAGTTAGTAAAAAATGAATGTAGGCCTATAAGACTGGAAACACTTCTAAAAAAATGCAGAAAAGCTAAAGTTGATCTAAATTTCTTGAAAAATTACAAAACCTTCAGTGTTTTCCCCAAGTATATTTAAAAAAAAACCCTTAATAATTTAGAATTCATATTATGCAACCGAAACTAACAAAACTTACTTAACATATGATATAGGCCTATAAATATTTTTCCTTCTTTCTAGAACTGGCTCCAAAACAAGTGCGCGTTAATGCTGTCAAGTAAGTAGGCCTCTCTCTTTGAACTCGTTAGAGATTTTGTAAAGCATGGTTTCCAGGGGCGGATCCAGCCTAGGTTAATATAAGCATCCAGCCACACCCCCCCCCCCCCACCACCCTAGTTTTGCCACTGAATTTTAAAAATTTCAATGCATATTAATGTTGTTTGAAGGTTTGCATGGCGAAGTAATAACATATACGTTGAAGCTTGCGGTACACCACGTAGGTAGTTGTGAAAAGAGACTTTCTCAACTACAACAGTTCTTTTCAGAACTACCTACGTAGTGTACCACAAGCTTTAACATATATGACATATTATGTGCTACTCATTATCTATTCTGAAAATGTTGTTGGTCCCCTCCCTCCCCCCAGTTTGAAAAATTCTGGATCTGCCCCTGTGTATGCTGTCGTTATGGTTTTGTTTTCACTAAAATCATTACTCTTGTGTGCCCGACGCACATTCGGTCCTCGCTTCGACCGACCAGAAAAGGTTCTGCAATTAAGTGTAGCGATTCTATGAAACTTCCTTCGGAAAGGACTTTTAGTGTACCTAGTAAGAACACATTTATAGTTATCTTTAAATATTGTAGCCCTTAACAAATTTAAAATATTTTAAATTTTAGTTGTCAAATAATTTTTGGTCACAACAGACATAAGTGGTATATATTTGATAAACGAACACTTACAAAATACAAGCATCCGTAGACCTCTGTTCTTAATAACGAGATGGTTTTTCTTTTAGTCCTGGTATAATACGGACACCTATCTATGAAAAAACGAATACACCATGGGAAACTACTGAGGAAAAAGCAAGTATAGCTGTATTTACTCATTATTCATACTTGTAGATCAATCTCTTTAAAAAATTTGATATAATATGGTATTCAAATAATTCACAAAAGACTAGGCCTATGTGGTATTTTCTATTGGCTGTAGGCATAACATTCGTTATGTATGCAAAATGTCTGGGATTCAATGAGAGATTGATTTTTACAAATTATTATTTTTCAATTATTCCCTCTTCTCTTTCATCACGTTTCATAATCATATTTATTCATTACAATATAGGCCTATTTGGTTTTGTATAGACAAAAATGGTATACTGTATATGAAATATAAAACACGTAATACAGTAGTTTATTTGCCTCACAAAAAAAACATGATGTTCCGTGTGCGTAACCCTTTTCAAGTCATACCGGTAGTTCACGTCCAATTTTAATAAAAACTATTTCTCTGCGACTTGAAATAAAGGGAGGTAAGCTGGGTATTCAATAACCTTAAACTATAATCGTTTTTCAGATGAGTATCGAAGGAAAGAAGTGGCATCCATTGGGCCGAGTTGGTCAGGTAGATGACGTAGCTAAGGCCATTGCCTTCTTAGCTTCGGATGAAGGGGGATTTATTACGGGAGAAACACTTCCAGTAGATGGAGGAAGACACATAAGCTTACCCGCAATGTAGCCAAAAATGGGCATAAGCCGCGTGCAGAGTAGTATACTGTAATCACTGTCTCTTATACACATCTAGATGTGTATAAGAGACAGGAGTAATATTGTAGTCCAAAATCATACAGTAAGTATATAATTTTAAACTTAATGGCATAGAACCTGTCTCTTATACACATCTCCCTGTATGCAATTACAAAAAAAACCCCCTGTTGACATTTGATATTCAAATTGTAAGCCTATTATGTTTTCACTTGCTATGATATCGAACGTTCATTATTTTAATGGCAAATGGTAAGCTCGCGTCTTCCGATGTACAGTACTACACACTATCCAGGCATAACATAATCCAATGACTTAAATTTGATGCATCATATATTTTCCCAGTGGACAGATGATGTAATTGAATATTGAGCCATTATGTGACATTACTAAAACACATACAGAAACTGTACAATTCCGTTCTACAGAGGGCGTTTAGAGAACAGAGAATTATTCAAGAAAATTAATGCTGGAATTGCTTTAAAACTAAGCTGCGCGCTCATGCAAGTTACAGGTTTTGCAGGAATATTTTGCAGATATCAATTTCAACTAATCGGGCATTGGTTACAATTATATACAATTTGATACGCTAGAGGGCAGTAAATAGCAAACTGGTAGCACAAAAAGACATTGTACATTGTGAAAACCAATAAGAAAATCCGGGTTAGGAAAGGGAACCTGCGGGATACAGGGTAAAACCTAACATGGTCAAATACACCGGGAAACAACTCTAGTTCGTGTAGAAACAAAAAACAGAGGAACAATAATTGGCATGTAAATGTTTATTTGAATGTTTATTTGAACTCCTTAAACTACGGTATATCTGTGTATACTCAGAATATCAAAAACCAAGGGCAATTATGGACTGACTCTTAGCAGTATCAATATTTGACATATTTATAATGAACAGAGTACTACCCATGTTTTAGTGCCAACAATCTCAACCCCTAGATACATAATCACATTACGTACTAGGTAAAAATTAATTTACATACTGCTCAAGGCAATGACATCCCACTTTTCCATACTAAATATTTTTTACTTCCTCAATTAGAATTTGGGTAAATAATAAAAGGGTGATTTCATTTAATTTTTAACCTGTGAAATTTTGAGCTTCAAATTGGTCACATGACATTCAGAATAAAATCCTGTGCATTTCAAAATTATACAAAATTCCTACTTCCTAAGTTGGGCATACAGGTATTGTCTATTACAACAGACACTATTTCATCAGTTTGACAAAAAAGTTAACCACTTTGTCGGAGGTACACCACTTTGGAAAAGCATTTTTAAAATCTGATGGTGCCATTTTCGGGCTTCCTCCACTCCTGGTGGACTGATGCAGACGTAAACCCCATCTTCTCTGGCACCACCACTGACCCAATGTCCTGTTATCAAAATCTGATCAAATACTGGCTGTTGTGTCTGACCAACAAGTGGTGTAATCTTATTAATGATGAATAGTTATTAACTTCCAATGAACACAGATCAAAATAATTCAGTTTTCACAAACAGACATCTTACTACAAATATCCTTAAATTATTTAAGGATCTATGTAAAAAAAAAATAACAGTATTATCTTTATGTCTGTCACTTGATGACAAGGAAAATGTTTTCTCATCTTTATTTTCGATTGAAAGCTAACAATCTATATATACAATGTTAGCAAATTCAAATAATCAAATTTAAATTGCCTGTATATCTTTATTTTTATTACATTTTATTCAATCATATTTAATGAGGGTGATCTTTTAAGCTCACTAAAGAGCTGATCAATAAGGGGCCCTCAATCAGTAGGGATCCTTTAAGGTTCATAATCAGATTTTCTGCAGAGAGCACAACCTGTATATAGTTTTGTTTTCATCATGTAAGCGGCAAATTACTTCATGCAACTGGATACAAATGCAATTTAAATATAAAGAAATCATTCAACAAAACCTTCTGAAAGTGTTTCATCAAGAAAATAAATATTAATTGATGGGTCATCTTAATTGCAAACAGTTGCTATAGACTTAAAATGTCTGTATTTAATAGGGAGAAAGTTCAATTTAATAGGCCGTAAAAAAACAAGATTTTGTGGGAAAAAAACCCCTTTGAAACCACCATAAAATAAGATATTTTGGGAACTTCTATGATGAATATTTATGGGAGATTTTTTTTATTCCTTGTTTTCCGCACTTATTTTTTTAAAGATCATTGAAGAAGGGCAGAAGAAAAATAAAAATAAAATTTTGTTTTCTAATTTTAGCAATCAGTTTTGCCAAAAACATCAAGACGGAGGAGAAAATAAAAATAAAATGTTATTGGTGAATGTAAAATAGGATGGTTAAATGCTTCAAATTTATATAATTAGAAAGAAATATACATATCTTACCATTGGAGATTTCAAGGCAGCAGAGGGCGTAATAAAAATAAAGAAAAACTTTTTTTTCTGAAATTTCCAATTTTACGTGGCAGGGGGTACGCTAAATGGCCAAAAGTTAAATTTTATTTTTATTCAAAATCATTAATATTTGCAGTCAGCGGGTTTGCTAAACAAGGTATAAAAACGTCTTGCCTTGTGAGGATTTATTGTTATCAGTTAGCAACGGTACCCAATACCTGATACACATGCAAACTTGTCAATCCCTACATATACACAGATTAATTCTCCCAACATTATCTAGAAAAAATGGACACTAGCTACGGTACACACAAACAAATTGTTTCTATAAAACTGTTTCCATACATATAGTACAATCGGAATAAAAAAAAAGCATCGAATTGTTATTCTGGAAAGTAGGGAAAAGAAGTAACAACCGTTGAAGAACCACAAAATCCCTTTAAAATGTGAACATTTTTAAATTCCCTTTTTAATGGATTAGAATTCAAGATGCAGACACTTTGCAGCATAATGGTCTTCTGGTTGCTCCTCTTTCATATGGGATCAAGTGATGTATTCATCTCATGATTTCGTCTCGGGTGTATCATCCTCAAGATCAGGTAATTCTAGTGGAAAGAAAAACCTCAAACTGTAGAGCACAATAAAACTTTAATCTCTAAATTAAAATACAGGTCTCCTTTCAATTAAATAAAGATCACTTTTTTGCGGCCCCAAATGAACACTTTATCTTTTATCATCTTAATAATTGTTCTAATTAAAACCAAAAACTGCTAACTACCCTGAAGCACCAGGTTCCAAAAGTGATCTTTAATCGAAAGGAGACCTGTAATGATTTACTTTAATTATTAATTTAAACTGCTGAAGTAGAAAAAACACTCATTAAATTACTCAAAGCTACTGCAGACTTGTTTTTATTCAGGCTTATATAATTAAATAATAATGGTACACTTGCAAATTGGCATGAGTGAGAGTTTATAATAGGTTAACAAGCTTTCATTAAATGCATTTGTCAATGTTAAATGTTATTTGCGAGGACGCAGAATCTGTTTTGAAAGGTGAGGGCGACAGACGTAACTACACACCTACCCTGCAGCCCAACCATGATTGCTTTTATCGGAAACAGCTGCTTCATTTACAAATTGTACAAGAGTCATACAGTAAGTATATAATTTTAAACTTAATGGCATAGAACTGTTTCAGATCTGCTTTCCTTAAAATCTGGGTCATTATATCTGGGTCATTATTCACTTCAACAATTTTAAATCATCTTTTTGACTTGACAACCCCTTTAAAAATATGCGGTAGATGGGATATCCCCTAAACCCATGATCTGGGTTCATGGGCAATTCCTACATCACTGTTAAAGGAACGAAATTACTAAACCACAAATTACTATTTTGACATTTCTCACCAGTTTATATCAACCTACCTTCATCGTCACTGTCCTCGCTTCCTCCTTCATTAAGATCACCTAAACCAGGGAATCCATCACCGCCGCCGCCACCCATTTGAGCCATCATCTAATAGCAAAAATAAAAAAATGGAACTCTAATGTCAGTCTGAATTTCAATTATGTGAAGTATTATTATACAGTAATTAATTTATTCATCATAAAACATTTAAATTACATACAAACAATTGCAATAAAAAAACTTGTGGTAGGAGAGGACAAACTGTCATCAATACAAGGCAAATACAATAAATAATATTCCTCAAATAAATTTTGATTTTGTGATTTTTCTGTTCTAAAAAGAGGGGTACGTAATATTGGGAGATGTTACTGTATTTGTACTGTACAATTACTGTAACTGAGGCATGTCATGGCCAAAAACAAAATAATTGACTATTAATATATTCTTCACAGTATACAGCAGTTTTAATATGATGGTGTAGAATTGACTAAATATTGGCCAAGGTAAGAGTAAAAGTATACAGTTTCTGTAAGTATACAGTACTGTCAAAATCTGTTACTAATTACAGTTAAACTTGCCTAAGTTGACTGTGCCCAAGTCAAATAAATTAAAAGTCGATCTTATTTTACATGCCAAATTGTTGTGTTTTCCATTAACAATCTGTAAGTCTAATTTTATCTAAAGTCGAACAGTATTTCAATGGCATTTTGGAATCGACTTAGGGAAGTTGAACTGTTTAACAGGTTGATGCCAATGACGCGGTTCATGTCTGACAGGGTTCACTCAGACCGCCAAGGACGCGTGCTCACGTCCACACCTGTCCAACAATACCACTGTTGTATTGCACGTAAACTCGCTGGCAGTGGTCCACCAGAAAACTAACTCTCTCCTTGGAGGTTTATGGAAGGACCCGGAAGTAAGTAAATGATCTAAAATATCTACTGTATATTTATTAATGTTTCACTACAGTTGATGCAAATGATGGTGGCACACTTTAGGCACTGGCGTATGGGATTGAACTAGGTAAAAATGCTTGGCATGGCAGTCAATGTTTTAACATATTGAAACAAGTACACTGATTCTGGGATGGTAGTTGATTGCTGTTTTACCTGTTCAAGATTGCCACCTCCCATACCACCCATTCCCCTTGTGTTACTGTCCTCGTCGTCAGAGTCATCCTCATCAACCCATCTGTTGAAATCTGTCTTCAAATATGACAGCTAAAGAAAAAAAAATGGCATCAATAAAATTATTATGTGTACAGTTTCTTGAACGACATGCCCCAACAGAGGTGAAAGGATTTAAAGTAAATCACTTCTGTATTCTGAAAATCACAATTAAAAAAAATGAGTTATGAGTTGCTTGATGATGTACTAAATGATAATGAAACTAACATGAACAATAATAAACAGTCTGAACATATGGCCATGCTTATTTTGTTGTAAATGAAAATTTTTAAAACAAAGTGTGTTGCATCATCCTACTGTATGTTGCAAGATGTGTACTTTTCTATGATCTCATTAATTTTAAATGGTTAAGTGAACAATTTAAAAGGTCTGTTTAAATTTAGTATTATAGCAGTATAAAGTACAATATGAAGCTCACCTTAGTCTTATCAGAGAGCAACCTTGGCCAGTATGGACCAGATTCTTTCTTTACTATGGTGATAAATACCTCTCTACTCGAACGTTTTACATGGGATTTCTAGAAAACAACATTAAAAAAAATCATAAATTTACAGTATAAATAAAAATTAAATATGAGTGTGGTGCAAGGATTTACTGTATGCTTCACTCCATTAATCATGAAATTATGAGTTTTAATAGTCAAATGCTCTCAAAATTCCTTGTATACTTGGTCAAGGCAACAACACATTATTTTATGAGTTTTCAGATGACCATGGGTAAGACCAGGTGATCTGGGTTTTTCTATGCTGTATTGAAAATCTAGTAATACTCCCTTGATAGTATTAGCAGTTGTTACTGTATTATTTCAATTTATTTATTTATTACCATTTTTAAAGAGGGTGACATAACCAGTTCCAGCATGAACTGATCATTAACATTCATTCTACCATATACAGTATAAACATGCATGGAAATTAAACAATCAAAATTATAGTATACATAGAAAAATGGTCAAGGGATGACTTAGAAACTCTTACGAGTCTGTCACCGTTGCCCCTCTTCAAGACAGCAAAAACAATATTACTGTAAACATGAAAATAAACAGAAAATAAACACACCTCCGTATAAATAAGATAAACATAATGTTTTCTCTGACTATACAAATGTTAAATTCAATTCCTAAACTCTAATTAATTATATTATTAAAATGACAGTTTATCATTATTATTAATATCCTTATTGTTATGTTTGGAGCCTTCATTAGTATTATTTATATACTTATAACTAATTTTAACCTTTTAAGTCTGTGTAAACTATTTGACGGAGGATTTTTGTAAGGTGGGTGGCAAATTTCCATTTTTTCATGGACAGGGGTTCACTGTGACCGACAGTACTAACCAACAGTCAGTTGTATCTTTCTCCTGTTGGTTTCCTTATACCATTAAAAAACTTGAATTGAAGCCCACTGGGCTTCATCCAAGATAAAGGCTGTATCGAATTGAAGCCCCCTCTCTACCCCCAAGTATGTAGTTTCGGTGATTCAATGCCAGTTAAATACACTCCATGATACAGATTGATGTTATAGTGGGCTTATTTATTGTTTTATAGTACAAATTCACAAAATTTACAGCATTCATTTTGAAAAGAAGCCTCCCTCTTTACTTTGCAAAAGTAGTCACATCCAAAGTTTGCAAAAAAAGGAAGCCAAGGGCTTTAATTTGAGGTTTTAGGTATCATCTAGCTGGAAATATGCAGTTTTTGGTTCGGTGCTGCCTTTTTGTTCTTCTGGTGGGCCACTGCTGTGCCCAATTCCTTTCCAGAAACTAGGTTGATGACTACACTATGGAAAATTTGTTATAAAAAAATTGTCACCACACCAAAGACCGCAACTCAGTACTGTATCATTGAATCCCGTAGAAAGGAGATTCAACAAATAAAAATGTGCTCACCTCTTCATTTATTTGACCATAAAACTTGAAATCTAACTTGTACAATTTCTGTTCTGCCCCACCTTTACCCTCAACAATTAACTGGTCGTCTGTCATTTCCACCTTAGAGGAATTAAAGTCCTCAACTGAGATTGTAATATAAAGTTTATCCTTCCTTTGAGCCCATAAGGTTTGAGGATGTAAGCTGAAAATTAAAAATTACAACATTTTACATTATCCTACTGAACTGGATATAAAAATGACTATTTTTTCATTTGTTTGCCCATCCCCCCAAGACTCAACAACCTCTGAAAACATGAAGCGTGCATACAATAACACTGATACCATGTTGACAGATCACAGTCCTATTTCATTATTTTCAAGGTACAGTTCCAAGAAAAGGCGGGTAGGGAATCAAAAGCTACAGTATCTCGGTAATGGTGTTGCAACCCTAACCTTCTTCACCATTACAAAGACAGCGTATGGTACCGTACATCTACAGTACACAACAAAACAAAACTGGCATACAGTAGAACCTCGATTTTATGTACTGTACAGTACGGGACCAGAGGGCGTATGCAAATCGGGGGATTCTAAAATTGAGGTTGGGTTAAATTCATAGTGACCTTTGACCTAATACATACGTAACACTCAATAAACATATTACCTAGGCTACACCTAGCCTCTAGGTCTGCGAATAAAACCATGTGTGTAGTGTTTTTATTCATCATTTGATGTCACAATAAAGTGTTCAAATAAAACCATGTGTCTAGTGTTGTCTGGGCCTGCTGAGACAAATTAAAAAACCATGTGCACTGCACTAGGCGAGCTAACCAGTTAGCGTTCGTGTACGTAAAACAGTAACCTGGTGCACTGCACTGGGCGAGCCAACCAATTAGGGTTTGTATACGAAATTATGCCTACTCAGTTTCGTGTAGAAAATTCGACCAGACGAGTTTTCCACACAAAGCTAAGGAGAAAAGCAATACTTTGAGCACCATCGGTAGTTGTTCACCTCGCTCAGTTCACTTGGTGTTAGATTATAACAACCAGGTATTAGACTCAATCAACGTTGCTGTTTAATGAAAATACGTTGCATATGGTTTGTTTATAATTGTTATAGTATTGAAAAGCAGACAGAAAGTATCAAATCTCTTTTTACTTTAATGGTTGCTCTGAAAAGGGCCGTTTATTTGAATATTTTTGGGGTTTTTGATGACGTCATTATCAATACAAGGCGTACGTAAAAACGAGGGTTCGTATAACTGGGGTACGTAAAAAAGAGGTTCTACTGTATATTGTTTCATAGATAAGCATTTATGAAATACTGTAGACTGGACTATTTGTACAATAATGAAACAGAAATTATTACGAAAATACTGGATCTGCTCCTGTTCCTCATCCTGTTGGGAATCCCCACCTCTGGCAGGAAAGTACACCATTTCTACAGAAATTAGACCTTCCTTGGCCTACAAGTAATACTAATTAAACACAACACAAAAAACACTAGGGGCCTAGCCTATATATATTGGCATTTTGATAAATTTAAAAGATTATTGGGTAATTTATAGATGGTTTGAACCTTGAACATTTGGACAGTGATTGTATCTCGCACTAACAACAGAAAGAATACAAGCATACAAAGAATATGGAAATTCCAAAATCACCACTCAGCCACGCACAAAAAACTAACAAAAAGTCACTAACGTAACGCCGCCAACGACCTAGCTTAGCTAGGCCTCCCTACTAGGGGAGTACGTAGGTAGGTACATCTACGCCGCTCACCAGCCTTCTCAGGCTACGCCTATATTTCCAACTCTGTCGCACACACTCTTTTGTTACAGTAGTGATAACAATAAAGAAGTAACTAAATACTTACGCTGCATCAGTCATTTTCAAAATTTAATTTCTATGGTTTTAACAATCCCTTAATGTTGATAGCAAAATTCCAGAACTCTCCAAACCTAGGCTAGCCACTGCGAGCGTTCTCTCCATCCACGTGTGACCTTTGAATTCTAATATACATTTCCAGAAAGCTATACAATTTTAAATCCCAATTTCTAATCATAAATTTTTGAAATAATTATATCAGAACCTGGTAAGAAATTATTACCCTGAAATATGATGATACATTACTAACCATAACAAAACAATAATAATGATAATAATAATAATAATAATAATAATAATAATAATAATAATAATAATAATAATAATAATAATAATAATAATAATAATGGTAAAACGTAGGCCTATGTTAATAATAATAATTTAAATAATAATAATATTTATATCAGAACCTGGTAAGAAATTATTACCCTGAAATATGATGATACATTACTAACCATAACAACAATAATAATGATAATAATAATAATAATAATAATAATAATAATAATAATAATAATAATAATAATAATAATAATAATAATAATAATAATAATGGTAATACGTAGGCCTATGGTAATAATAATAATATTTATATTATTAATCATTGATAATAATGATAATAACAACACCCCCAATAACAATAATGATAAATATTTATAATAATAAAAATGATAATGATGATGATAATAATAATGATAATAATGATGAGATGAATGTTTGTTCATTTTTAAAAGTTACAAAATTGAACAATAAACGTTCATTGAATTACGGGAGTAGGGGTTAAGCTCTCCCGACGATGATGATGATGATGGTAATAATAATAATA